CCCTCGTGATAGATGACAACTACAGGGAAGGTCAGTTCAGAAAAAACAGGATGAAATGTACTTTTCTCTATAGGTTTTAAAGACATGCCTTTTTCTGTACCTTAAAGGCATATAATTTATCAATTCCAGAAGAAAAAAAAAACAGATTTAAAGGCAACCTTCAGTACAGTTATAATCTAGTTGGATGCTTTTCTGGGAAGCACTGGCTGGGAAAACAGTATTGTTTACTTCAGATACATCTGGTGCACTGTTGTGGTCAGCAGCTCTCACTGTGTGTCTACAACATCTTCACTGTGGTGTTTTCTTGAATTAATTGGGCTCAATTAGGAACATTTACCATTCACATTTAATTTTACAAGTATGATTTAGTCAGTTTTCAGGATATGGGCTATATCTCTGCATCAGAAATTACCTTTCTCACCAAAAGGACTTTGCTCCAAAGAAATACCTCTGATTTATTACTCTCCTGTAGCATTTGGCTCATCTGCCTAAGAAATTAAGATTGGTTTTGCTTACAATTTAAATTCCCAATCATCACGTTACCACTTTGGCAGTTATGATAATTTTTACTGAATTAATTTCCATCTCAAAAAAAAGCCTTTTTTTTCCCCTGACTTTTTAAGCTCTTTTTGGCTGCTGGCAAGAATTCAGTAATGCTTCAGATATTAATGTTTATTTTTTAAATAAGTTTGTCCTTTAGGAAAAAAATAGAAGGTACATCTGACTCCTTAAACACTGTAGGTCTAAATGTTAAGTATGACAGCTGAGAGACCTCTCTTTTTAGTTTTACCCAGATTAAATTTGAATTTGTTCGGATGGGTTTTGACCAGTTAATTTGTCTTGACAGCTCTCAGGGTCACATTTAGTTTATCCCCATAGGTGCCTTGTTCTGTAGGAGAATAAAATGCATTTGTCTCATCCACTTGCCTTTGATTTTCATATTTGTGTGAATGACTTTGAAATCACAAGAATCAAAAGAATTAAATTGAATAAAATGGAAAACAGATTAAATAAAATGTTTTTACTTCCCCAAAGTGTTGCCTGAAAGATCCCTGGATGGACAAAATGACCACACAATATACCAAATGCTGAAAACTTCTGATGTGATTGCACCCATAAAGAAGGAGCATTTCTCCCTTTACTTCATAACCAGTCTCAAATATTTTCACAGGAGTATTTGCATTATGGTTATTGGAACTTCTATGTGTGGGAGGAGGCTCAGTTTGCCTGAAATGATGATATTCCAGCATTGAGGACATCAAGTTACTATAAAGGAAGCAAATCAGGAAAAGCACATGAACTAATAGCAGCTCATTTTAAATTTGTGTAGGCAGAAAGTGTTGTGCTTGCTCTCTAAAAATATATTGAAACCCAAACTAAGCTCTGAGGGCAGAGAAGATCTTTTTGAGAAAGAGGTACATGAAGAGAATGCCTTCCAATGTCACAGCTGTTTTTAAAACAAAGCAAATAATAAGCAGTTTCCTGAACCCAGGCATCTCATGAAGCTTGTGACAACAGAATGGACTGGGCCACACAGTAACTTTGTGGAAGTAAATCCATGTATTGATTAAAATCAAACCAAACCAAACAGAAGCTGATTGACCTTTCCAAATGGCAGGGGATTTTTCATGCCGTGTGTGTGGAAGTCACTCAGCCACTGCAGCCTTGGCTGGTACTTTCAGCTGTGTTCTTCCACACACAAAGGAGCCTCATTTCCCATGACAGCAAAGTGCACATCAGCACATGCCATGCAAATCACAGCCCCTTCAAAACCTCTCTCTGTACAGAGGAATATTCAGCAAATCATCTCTCCTAATAACAGGAGACTCCAGCTGCCAAGGGGTCTGTTGTTGTACCACACTTAAAGACTTCACAGTGTCTGCACGTGAGCATTGGTGACATTGGGAAACACAGTCAGGTTGGAACATAAATTTGAAATGCATGACAAAAACCAGCCTTTATCTCATAGCCTTTCCAACAGTTTTCTTTAAAACACTTCTACTCCAAGAGCCCGGACACTTAGAGAGTGTTTCCATCAGGAGGTAAGAAAAGTTATAAATGGGTTTATGATGTACAAGTCCCCTGGAACTTAGTGGAGTTCAGGGTCTTGCTCACACAGAAAACATGAACTTCAAGTCAGGTTCCCGCTGGCCTGAATCCCACACAAAGTGAGCACCTTTCACTTTGAAGCTGGAAGCAAGAGTCAGTGTACTTAATGAAGGACAATCAGTTCAGATCAAGATCACCACAGCAAGCAAACCTTGCTGTGTGTCTGCATGTTTTAAAGGGGAAAACAAGACCATACAGAGGATAGAAATGCCTGGCATTTTTCCAGAATAAATAAGATAGTAAACCCAGTTATATTTGCAAAAAAAAAAAAAAAGAAAGCATTAGATAAGTATTAAGAATATTAAAAGAGAAGCAGATGCATAATGCATGACTGTGAAAGGTGGTAGGCTCCAACGGTGGCACAGTAATCAATAAGATACTGAAAGAGTTGGCTGGGAAGGACAGAAAAAGCCAGATTACATCATGAGGGCGAGATCTTGGCAGTACCTGTGGGGGATTCAACAGGATCATGTTTGCAACTGGAAAAGAACAGACATAAGGTTATGCCTAAATTTATCCTTCTGCATTCAGTCCTCAGCCTCTGAATTGGGAAAAGAATGATTTACCTAATACTGAGGGCAATCAGAGACAACTGCATTAAACAAAGCAATAATAACTGCTGACAACATCAGCCTGCAGAGATCAGGAACTTCTGTCAAGACAGAATTTACAGAAACACCTTCCCAGCATTCAGTCCAATGGTTCTAAGAATGATCCCAGGACAAGTTTTCCTAACTCAGAAACTCCCAGGCATGAACTGAAGAACTAAAGCTCGCTCACTAAAAATGATCTTGATGTATTTATTTCCAGCAGGCACAGTGATAAACATCAAAACTTTAAAATGAGAGGCAGCCTGTTAAAAACCACATGAATAGTTCAGGGATCCACGTGCCACCAGCTGTAAATACCTGCTGGTTTCCACCCGCTGAAGAGGACCCAATGATCTTGGAGGTCTTTTCCAACCTCAGTGATTCTGTGATTCTGTGTTTACAGTTTTGGTAAGCAGCTACATCTCTGGAACATCAACTCTGAAAATCGTCTGTATGAGTTTGAACTTTTAATGGCAGGGCTTCTAACATGGAGGTTTTTAACAGCCTAGTAATAAAACAGTGTGTGTATACCCAGAGATGTGGTGGGGGAAGGACGAATAACCTCTGGAAGAGGACAAAGAAACATGATGGAAACCTGATGATACCTGTTGGTGCCTCCTAAAGTGCCACTGAAATGCCAGGAATTTCACATCCATTTCTGGACTCAGATCCTAACTCATTTAGATGATCTTGGATTTTTGCTTTGCTCTTCTAATGAAGACCATTCCCAAGCTTTCCAGTATCCACACGAACACTGAGCTACCTGAATTAGTGATGAAAGATTGGAATCTGGCAAGGGTGGTCCCTTTTGGTTGGTTTGTCTGAGACAGGGAATTATGGCAAACGCTGACACAAGAGAGAGCTTTTACACCCAACTGTAATATTTACATAAAATATCAAAGGGAGGAGTGGAAGCCCATGAAGGGAGGAAGAGAGGAGGGGGAGCTGAGGGAGACTGTGCTGATGTTTTTGTTGGCATTCCAGGTAGAGGCAGTGAATGAATCCTGAGAAGTCTCAAGCTCAGCAATGACTTACTGTGCTGCCTTCTCTTCAGGAAAAGCAGTGTGCAGGCTGCCTTTCCAAATGTATTTCCATGGGAGAGGCTGTGCAGGAATCCTGTGAAGACATACCCACTAAACTTCACTGGGATCCTCCAGTCTGACAGATAAAGTGCATGTTTAGATGGCTTTCACAGCTGATTTCAGTCCAGTCCAGTGGGTTACACAGGAAAATTACTTTCAACAGCCCTGTCACATCCCGTGGCTCAGCAGCCACTCTCCCAGTGAGGTGATGCCAAGCAATCAGTGCCTTGATCAGGGCTGGAGCCCTGGAAAGTGTCCCACAGGTTGTGCTGCCATTACCATGCATCTATACCAACAGATCCGCATGATTTATCCAATTAGCGGGTTACTCAAATTAACTTTTTAAAATTAAGTCTGCTGAAAATAAATGGGTCAGTTATTTCCTTTCATACCTTGTTGGCTTCAACCATGTCTCTCTTGGTTTTTAAGGCAGTGAATGAAGAGAGTAATGTGGGTGCTATGAAATGCAAATTCATGTGCATATGTGGATAATTTATACCCACTCTTTTTGCAAAGCTGAGGTGTAAAACCAAAAGAACGATTTGGTTTCATCAAGATGTCACAAAAGTAAGGGACAGCTACTTGTTTAATAATTTAAAAGTCCATTGTCTTCTATACCTATGAAATCCAGAAATGTAGACAGGCAGCCTGTAAAATAAACTCTCTTTGACAAAATAGAGTTTTCAAAATAAACAGTTTTTTGCTTTCCATTTGTAGCAACAAAACTACCTACATGTAGTAGGTAGTTCTGGGCCTAAATCCCCAATATTGCCTTTGAACAGAGCTTTTTACTTAACAGAGCTTAAAGTGGCAGCACTTGCAGGATCTTAGTTATTACAGATTATTTGCAACAGTGTTATTTCCCATATCCTAATGAGTTATCCTAAAAAATTAAGAATAAATTATGATCAACATGTGCAAAAAAGACAGGGGACTTGATGTAAAAGAAGAGCTTGAGCTAAGAAGAGAAAAGCAAAATAAAATACTGAATGGCAATTTATCAGTAATTGTTTATAAGCACTTTAATACTGGATCTCATAAAAAAACCCCAATGCTGTAACTTGGTAATAAGGCCAATGTCCCTTAGTGAATGATTGTTTAAATTTACAGCTATATATCAGCAACTCCCTTGAATAATGCTGAAGTTAGAAGACCTTCTCTGGGTTAAATCATCTTTATGGAATAGGGTAGAGAAAACAATGAAAATTATGGCTATACTTCTGCTAAATGCAGACAAAGTAGTATTTTTGCTTTGATATGCATTCAAATAATGAACTAGATCACACTGATATAAAAAAAGTAGTTAAAGTTTTGTAGTTTTAACATGAGGCTAAAATTATACAGCAATGGAAGCATAAATTATGTGAGGTCAGTTTTCAGATAGTAGACTTACTTTCTTCAGCTGCAATATATATATTTATATCTGAAATTGTCTTGCTCCTTGGAAGATACAATTATCCTGAACTCCAGTGCTTTCTGCAAAGTTCTTGGCCATGGAAAAACTACCAAAATTATTTAGCAGACAGTGTCTTTTTTCCTCATAAAACTAGAGAAGTAAGATTAAGTGTGTCTTTACTATTTTTGATAATGTCAGTTCCTATTCCATCTTGTTACTCCTGACAGCATGTAAATATTTAATAGCACTCAAAAGGTAACTTGTCTGGAAAGAAGGAACAACATAAATATGTAAGTGAGAGTTGAGTGCCGAGCTACTCAGCCTTTGGAAAAAGTCTTACAGTGAACCTCAGTCAGTACAATACTGTGGTCCTGCCTTATTGAAAACTGCACAGTCACATCCATGTCAGAAAGTGAATTAATGTCCTTGGAGTTGCACACAGAAGGACTATTTCTTGGATTCCTGCAAAGATACATACATACATATAATATAATATAATATCTATATTATAATATAATATATATAGATAAATATATGTGCATCCTTATTTCTCAATATTGCCATACATATTTTTGTTGACAGAGATTAATACACGTATTCCTGTGATTTGATAAGGTCAAAACTTTTATCTGCTCGCTTTTAAATGAGGCAGATTCAATTATAGACATGCAAGCACAACTTGACTGATCCTCAGGCAAATACGTTTGGGTTTGCCTAAGTTTCCCACCATTTTAGCATGAGGATTTGCAGTTTTTACCTCTCTCCAGTGCGGTTCTTCCACAAGAGATGGGATCTTCCTGTCTTTTCCTATTCTATTTGATCAATTCCTTTCTCCTGAGCTTCTTTCTCCCAAAGTAATCTGAAAGCAAAGGAAAGCAAAGCAAGGGAAATGTGAGAACAGTGTGTAGTCTCTATCTTATTTGCCTAGCACTGGTTTCTATCTTGTTCATTTTTAAATTTTTAGGCAGTATTTAAAAAATCCAAGGAAAAGAAAGCCTGTTACAAGAGTCTGACAATGTTTCTGCACCAGGCTGAAGTAGACTGACGAATGGTACTCATCTATTAGCCATTAAATGTCCATAAATCTGCCCATAGTATCTACCTAGTGTATTGTAAATGTTGACACCAGACAAATTCTAATTAAAAAGACTTGCTTATTTATTTGGTGTTTATTATCTTCTTAAATATAGTTTAGCAGGCTTTTGAAAAAAGTATGTCTATGTGCAGGTAGTGCTATTTTAAATACACTACCAAAATTGCTTGGCTCCAAGAAACCAATATTTTAATGATTATGTTGCACAATAGGTCCCAGACTAACACTGAGCTGCACTCAGAAAATACAATCAAACAGCTCAGAGGTGTTCATGCCTTAAACATCCAATATCCTGAGCATATAGAAACATCTCAGAGCAGAAAAGAGCAAAAGATTATGATCCAGCTCTCCCTGCAGCCTCCAGAAAGGTGCTCTGAAAAAGACTCAAGAGTCTCTTTGATCTCCAATACACGGAGTAAGGTGTGAGAGGTTCTGTAAAACTCGGGTTTTTCATTACCACCTCCAGCTATTTTAGCAAAAGCTGCAGCACTTGTCACTGATTAAATAACACACTTGGACATTTAGTTAATTGCCTGAGTCTCCAAGATAAACAAAATTGCTCAAGCAAAACTTGCTCCTGATTTTTATATGGGTGTCAGGTATACGATATGGATTTTTTGGTGTGGATTTAAAACATAATTTTCATTAAATAATTTACATTTAAAAAATTATCAGATTGCACACTAAATAACACACGTTATGCTTACAGCACCAAGATGATGTCAAGAAGAGACACTTTGAATAGATAAATCTAATATGAACACTTCTTAAATAACCAATCAACGCGACCAACCTCTCTGCATTTTGCTGTGCTAAAATATACTGCATAGGATATGGAAAATACAATGGAGACTGCACTTCCAAAACATGATGCTGTTCAGAAACTGGATCACTCTGTCAGCATTTTCTGCCTTCTTGATTTCGTGTTCCTATTTAGATGGGGTATGGGAAGGAATCCTTCCCTGTGAGGGTGGTGAGGTCCTGGCACAGGTTGCCCAGAGAAGCTGTGGCTGCCCCTGGATCCCTGGAAGTGTCCAAGGCCAGGTTGGACGGGGCTTGGAGCAGCTTGGGATAGTGGAAGGTGTCCCTGCCCATGGCAGGGGGTGGGACTGGATGAGTTTTAAGGTCCCTTCAACCCAAACCATTTTGTGATTCCATGGAACACAGTGATATTCCTGTACCATGTCCATCCCATGGCATGGGGAATGGAGCCCGGGGCAGGGTGACATCCAGGGCTCCATCAGCTCCAAACATTCCTCAAGGGAGCCTCCTGGGAGCAATACGGATGGTCCCAGTCACTGAAGCATCAGAGGGACGAGGAGAGGAGCGTCACAGCCACTCTCCCTGTCTGAGTGGGCATGTTTTGGGCAGCAGCTCTGCTCTCCGTGAGGAAGAGGGAGGATGAGGAGGGGATTCCCCTCCGGGCAGCCTGCAGGACCCCCACCCCAAGGACCACCACCCACTCCTCAGAAAATGGTGCTGTGGTGAGGGGTCACAGCTGCTGTGAGGTGGGCTCGGGGGGCCAGGAATGCCTGGAGGGTGAGGTGGGAATGTGAGGGGGCAGGATTAGGGAAGCATGGCTGTGCCTCAGGAGGGAGGGCTGTGGGACAGAAACAGGGTGCTGAGGGTGCAGTGGACATCATGTGGTGCTCCAGGGGCTGGAATGTTTCTGGAGGGGCATCCAGGAGATGGGGTGGTGGGATGGTGGAGGAGAATGGGAATGTGAGAAAAAATGGGATGTCAGGACCTGGGGCCAGTGAGCCGGGGGCACTCCTGCTGCCTTCCTGAGTGCTTCCTCCACAGGGTCTGGGGTGAGGGCTGAGGGAGAAAGTTCCAGTTTGTGTCTGAGGACGAGGATGTGTATACTCATCTATACATATGCACATATCTATCTATCTATCTATCTATCTATCTATCTATCTATCTATCTATCTATCTATCTGTCTATCCATGCATTAGCAGAAAAAATGCCAACAAAGTGTGAGGGCCCAAACTGTGCCCGAAATGAGCCGTCATCATGAAGGGTTGAGTGGAGGGAACCTGGATGTGGCCCTGGAGCAGACGGACAAGCCACTGCTGCGAGCCATGTGTACATCAGTGCCTGTCTCTCTGTGTGCTCTCTGCACACTGTTTGTATCCATGGCTCTATGATGGAGCCCGCTCAGGATGCACTAATTGCAGTGAGTGTTCCTGTGGGATGAACGCTCGCTGACACGCGTGGGAGCGAGCAGGACAGACAGATGCCATGTGGGGAGACCGAGCAAATATGTGTGAAGGAGATGCTGCTGTTGTTTTCCAAATATTGATGAGGAGCTGTTAAAATCAGAGTAGTCAGTCACGCCGCTTTGTCTGTTTAGTTTCTTCAACCGAGCACAGATTGAGTAAGTGCTGGCTGTTAAACAAAAAAACAAACCCCACACTCACTTCTAACCTCATCCACACCTTGATTTCCTGCTCTAATCTTTTCCCCAACAGTTTTATGTGCCTTCTGCCAAAAGGAACAGCTCACTGAAGTACTGGCAATTTCTCCCTTGGATATTATTGACTAAAAAAATACCTATATTCAGCCTCAGGATGTTTGGTGTGCGTCTGTTTGTTCATATATCAAATACGAATAACTATCATTGTCTAATGTCCTTAGAGAATGTGATGGAATAAAATTCCAAATCACATTTGAAATTCCACATTTGCTGCAAGTTTTTGTGTGTATAATTTTCTAGGAAATGATGAGGTATATTCCAGTTGAAATCATATTACTTTAAGCTGTTGAGGGAAGCACTGGTCCATTATTTCCCGCTCCTTCCCTAGTCCATTACAATCCATATGCACTGCAGTCAGGCTTTTGTGATAAATAGCTCTGCAGAAGGTAAAAGCTGCTCATTTTCTTTGATTCCATCTGCAATCACCTCTCAGTTATTGAGGCTGCAGGTGCAGCTCTGTGGAGCTGCTTCCCTTGGAGCTGCGTGGGTGTGGAAGCGGAGGAGCCGCGATCCGGGACTGCTGGGACCAGGGTCAGTGCTCCCTGTGGGATCTCTGCCCTCCCAGTCCTCAACCTGCCTGGTGCTTCCCTGCTCTCTGCAGTTTATTATGTCTCTGTTTGTGTAACCACTGGTTTCTTGCTTAATTTGTGCTACCAGAACTCTCAATTACTTCAGGTAATTGAAAGGTGGTTTTGTTTGGGGTTCTGGCAACTTGGTGTGATTTCAGAACAGATTTTACAGTCATTTTCCACTGGAAAACTAATGACAGTTCTTGCAAATACAGCAGCTGTTGGAGAAGGTGTGAGGGAATTGAGCTAAAACCTCTGTCAGAAACAGGTTGGCAGCTTAGTTTGAGCCAATATTTCAATTTTACTGTTTAGCTCAGATAAATTTGAATCGGGTTCAGTCAGCGCATGTCGCTGTTTTTGCTTCACAAATAGGCTCTTGCTTCCAAGACAGTACCTTCTCCTTAAAAAGAAATTAAATATACTTTAAACATCAGAATTTAAGAAACGGTCATGTAGAAAACCAATTTTTAAAAGTGAGTTGGGTATTAACAGTCAGACCTGAATCTCTTTTTAACTGTAAGCAGTAGTATGAATGTTCCAGGACTGACTCATACTTTGAGTGCTTGCCAAGAATGACGTGAGTAAATATCTCCCAAAGCCAGCTCTTTTGTAGCAGACTATTGTTAACTGGCATTTGATATATTATAGCAGCATTCATCACAGCTCTTCAGATAAGGTTCACTCAGGAGAACAGTTGCATTTGTTATTTTCCTTTTTCCTCCCCTTTTCTTTTCAGACAGTCTCATTCAGCTTTGTTTACAAACCAGAGCACTTGACCCAAAATCAAATAGTGCCACAAAATTTCAGGAAAATGGTGTTGTTACAGATACCCACTTTAAGTGTAGATGTTTTAGCATTTTTCAGCCTGTATATCTCAATGGTAGGGAGTGTTTGAAGCTGTGAATGCCACAGAGATTGAAAACAAGTTTACTTCACATTTAATCTGGAAGGTAATTCAGGAGCACTTGTACTACCATTTCCAGGAGCTACTCTTGGGTTGGGATTTAAACACAGTCTGAGTATCAATTGAGGCTACTCCTTCACATTGGCTTTTGGGGCAAAATGGCAGAAGTTGCATATTTTGAGTTTTATTCATTATGTGGCAGTGAAACCAAAGGCACATAGCTGAAAAGCTTTATTGTTAGAGAATTTCTCAAAGATTTTCTAAATTCAGAATTTCAGTTACATCTTCAATATTCCTTGAATATTGTAGGCAATATAGTGCTCTATTAATTTTTTTAGGTAAAGTATTGTTACAATATCACCACAATGAAAGCAATGTCACAAAATGAAAGCAAGACCTTTGTAATTTAGGTTCATAATCATAATATATAATATAGTGGTTGAAAACAAGGTGTTTCTTTATTTCAAGAAATTGTTAAACTGGCAGTAGAAAGCCAACATGTGAAAATAGAGTGTTTAAATCTTCTAGGTGACTCTTGTAAAATTCTATTGCTTTTTCATAAGAGAATGAGGGTAAATCCTGCCAAATGCTGCAAGCCACAATGTCAAGTTTCTGAATCCCCCAGTTACTACAGCAGGTTTTCAGATCTTTGGGCACCAGACAAGGAGCTCTTCTTTGAATCTCCAGAGAGATAACTTTACAGCAGAGATGTGCCTTGAAGCTGGAACATTTATTCATGGATCAATGGGTGGCATTGCTTGAGAGGAGCTCAGCAGCCTTGCAGTCTTATTCCTGTCAGTATGTTTTGATGTTAGACTGGAGGAGATTTGTCTAACACTTGAAAGGAGGATTGGGATGGAGAAAAAAAAAGAGGGAAATGAGATCAAAAAAAGGCCTGATTATATAGTGTTTAAAGAGGAGCTTCCGGGGCACATTCAGCAGGTTTTAAATATTAATCTTATGCCCCTTATTTTTACATGTAAGTAAAAGGATTACACTTCTAAATAAACAAGTCCTGGTCAAAATGTGTAAGGTGGAGACCTTATAGGTGAGATATTAATTACATATCCATGGAAGGAAAAAAGGATTATTTTACCATATGCCTCGGAATTTCAAAGGAACCCATTACATTGGCCCAGTTTGCATCCTGGATAGAGCTCCAAGTTATCCCTTTTTATAAGGAGAACATTATCTGGATGCAATGTTTTGTTATTCTGCCATGGTGTGAGCACTCCTACAAGGAAATAACCTGCTCAGGAGTTTGTAGCAGCAGAAATGTTTCCAGGACAAAATCCTGCTCTTCGCTCAGGTTGGTCCATCAGCAGCAGAGCTGTTCCTGTGTGGGAGCACGTGCCGGGAGCCCTGCCAGGAATTTAGAGCGGGATATTTGTCATTGGACAAAGGGCATAACAAATAGCTGGGCAGCTTTTGTCTGCAAACACTCGCTGATAACAGAGTGAGGGTTATAAAGGATTGAAATGTTGCTCTCAGAGTATTTCCAGATTTTACTGTGGAGAAAATCTTCCAAATGCAACCTAAGGCCGAACTCTTTTACTGCCCCTCTAACAGTGCTGCTCAGAGAAACACTCCTACAAATCAATCTTGAATCCTGTACAAACTGCAAAGATAAAATAGACAAATTTAACACTTTAAACCACTATAAATAGTGTTGTTGGCAGCATCTCCTTTTGATCATGAACATCTTGTTTTTCTGAGACCAGTCTTGGCACTAGGGATTGCTTTGGTCTGTTTTTTAGTTAATTTAAAAATGTTCTTGTTTTGGTTTGAGCATTCAGAAAGGAATCAGGATAATGTAAATAAATGGAGTGTCTGCAGTGAGAACTGCAGCACAGTGCCCTCAAATCCAACTTCAGATAAATCCACAGCCAGCAAAAGTGAACCAACCCACAACAACAAGGTTGGCTCTCTGGTCCCAGACAGCTTTTAAGCTCACTCACTTTGTTTCAAGGCTCCATTGCAGACACCAGAGCAACAATTTCCAGAAATACATTACTCATGAACCTACAGATGCAGGGAATTAAGAGTGCAGCCTTCATTTCTTTTGTCCTGAAGTTCTCTACCACTTAGAGTAGAGGAAAGTTTTATTTGCTTATGGTGGTAGTAATTTTACATCTTCCCCTACGAATTGATCTCTTGGGAATAATTCCACTTTTTATGACGAGAAAGCCACTCCATTCCTCTCAGGCAACTTTTCCCCTCAATCCTAAGGAATGATTACCAGACCAGAGTCCTGGTAGTAGAGTTGTTCCAGTCTTGCTGGTGTGAAACAAGAAGGTATCTCATGTGGAACAAAAAATTAATTTGAACAGCATGATTGTAACAAGTTCCTCTTTATTTGCTTGGCATCTCATTCTTATGTTTTTGCAGTCGTATCTCACAATCAAAAAATGTTTTAGTTATTCAAGAGGTTCAGTGAATATTGAGAGACTCAACCAAACCTACAATTGGAAACCTCCTTTTTTTTTTAATATTAAGAACTGAATTTATCCAACGATTGACATTCAGTGAAACCTCCTAGTTTTATACCAGAAGCAGTTGTGTCCAATTTATTCATGGTAAATAAGGATCACCACATTGGCCCAGAAATTAAACACATAAAACTGAGCAAAACTCAGTCCCAACCAGCAAACACTCCGTATTCCTGCTGATTTTTGCATGAGGGATTTTGGGGGGGGGGGAAGGAAGAAGGGGAATAATCTGCAGTGTGTTCAGTGAGGATAACTGAGCCGAGTGTAAACATTTTGTGCTGTTTGGTCCCCCAGCACCAGGCCCTGCTGACAAACCTGGCTTCCAACATTCCCTGGGAGAAGCTCTGTCAAGTGGGG